TGTGTGTGTGTGTCTGTGTGTGTGTGTATATATGTGTGTGTATAAAATATATATATATAAGTCGGGAAGTCGTGGCCTAATGGTTAGAGTCGGACTCGTAACCCAAAGGTTGCAGGTTCGAGTCTCGTACCGGCAGGGACTGTAGGTGGGGGGAGTGAATGTACAGCGCTCTCTCCCACCTTCAATACCACGACTGAGGTGCCCTTGAGCAAGGCACCGAACCCCCAACTGCTACCCGGGCGCTGCAGCAAAAAAATGGCTGCCCACTGCTCCGGGTGTGTGTGTGTTCACCGCTGTGTGTGTGCACTTTGGATGGGATCACCATACTTGGTGTCACCATACTTGGCCACATGTCACTTCACTTTCACTTTCATATATATATCCCTTGCTACGTGTACTGCGTTAGGCTAACTGAGACTTGTCATTTGCACTTATATATTGTTGCTCTTTTGTTAGTTTTGACTGCTTTTATTGTCCTCATTTGTAAGTCGCTTTGGATAAAAGCGTCTGCTAAATGACTAAATGTAAATGTAAACTATCCCTTTAAATCCTGATTTATAAATGCTACATCATCTGATAAAATCAACATACAGCTACACTAAAGAGCGGCTGTCTGCGGTGGTTTTGGCTATATTACTTCGTTACATGCAGCGCACTGCCTGCGTCCGAGTAACAAAAAGTGCATATTAACAGATGAACCATGTTCATATTTAGTCCAAACAGTCAGTAAGCGACAGTTTACATTTGTACTCATTTGCTGACGAGTCGGCTGCAGTACGGCCAACTGAATGCGCTGCTTCTCTGCCGCTCACTGCACAGAATAGACGCTGAGAGAGGCGATACTGCGCCGGGAAAGCAGTACTGGCGACATCTTCAAACTGAACGATAGCTAAGGTTTATCCAAAAAAGTCGCCCTGTAGATAGATAGCACTTTAGTTAAAAAAATCTAGACCTAGACAATATATGATATGGCCTACCATTCAAAGTTTTGGGGTTCAAAAATAATGTTTTTTTAAATTAAATTAAATTTATTTTTTTGAGAAATTAATGATTTTATTCAGCAAGGATTCATTAAATTGATATGACGTGTCAGTACAATGTCACAAAAATATTTCAAAACTTTTTTTTTGTAATAATCGGTTTTCACAACTGTTGACAACTACAAACTGATTTAAACACTGATAATTAGAAATATTTCTTGAGCATCAAATCAGCATATTGGAATGATTTCTGAAGAATCATATGACACTGAGGTAATGGCTTAGACCTAGACAATATATGATGTGGCCTACCATTCAAAGTTTTGGGGTTCAAAAATAATGTTTTTTTAAATTAAATTAAATTTATTTATTTATTTTTTTTTAGAAATTAATGATTTTATTCAGCAAGGATTCATTAAATTGATATGACGTGTCAGTACAATGTCACAAAAATATTTCAAAACTTTTTTTTTGTAATAATCGGTTTTCACAACTGTTGACAACTACAAACTGATTTAAACACTGATAATTAGAAATATTTCTTGAGCATCAAATCAGCATATTGGAATGATTTCTGAAGAATCATATGACACTGAGGTAATGGCTTTCGAGTAATGGCTGCTGAAAATTCATGCCATCAGAGAAATAAATTACATGAATATAATTTTTTATTATACAGCATGGGTGAGCATAAGAGGCTTCAAAAACATTTAAAAAATCTTACTGAGCACAAGCTTTTGAATGGTAGTCAGTCTCTTAAATGTGACTCATAGAATACAATGATGTTCATTGCAGAACTATGTGTCACTTCACTGCACACTAAACTCTGTCCTTGAAGACACCACAATTAAGTAGTACATATTTCAAACCATGAAGAAATTCACCTCTGTATGCCTGCCGACAGCTAGTTCTCGCCTTCATCATAATTATAAGGTTTAATACAAAACATAAAATCTTGGGAAAGGTAATTGAGCAGATGAAAAGGGTTTGATGAATGAGTTCATAAAGTAGGTGGAGCATCTCACCACCTTCAGAGTGTGGAAGAGATTTTACACAGCATATCCAAAGTGACCCCATAACATACAGAATGAAAGGCCAATTTAAACCAACAGAGGCACAAGGACAGTGATAAAATTTGGTTTCTGTGCCATTTCAATACTAAAAGATTAAAATTTTATGCTGGCTCACCAAAATTATCGTGGATTTATAAAAGTAGCTTATGGCACATATATTAGATCCATTCATCAAGTTTGTTGAAATGAGCTAGATACTTTCCAACATATTTCACAAAATTACCACTCATGTGACTATGGCTTGGCAGTCTGTTTTTAGATTTTAGAAACTGAATTCAATCCAATTTGGCTTTATTGCTGAGCAAAACCCTGTTTTAAATGATTTGCAATGCTGTAACTATTTTTAAAATCACAATTTTACTGAAATCAAACCATATGACGTCAATGTTTCAATGCCTTAAATGAATGATGTAATGCTGCAAAAGCTCTCCTTTCTGTGTTCTGGTAAAGGTATGATGTGCCTTGCATCTCCCAAAAGAGCTCGTATTATCTACAGTAAGGGGACAGATGGTCTGCACACAGGAGGGTTGCCACACAACCAGACAACACATTTAACAGCAAAGCCAAGTTTCAGCCAGGGATATTTTGTTAGATCCAAATAATGGCCTATAAAATAACATACCACTTATTAGAAGTCTGAAATAGTTTAGCAGATCTGCCAGGATAAATGTTTTCTATTTTGACTGTAATGGTGCTAAATCAAAGCATCTTAATTGCTACTTCCAGTAAGGCAGTTATTCAAGATGATTTATGCAAAACTAATAGCACAAATAGCTATTAGGTTATCATAAAATGGTCTGATTTATTCAATAAACATTCAATAACAGGCTGTTTGTGCCAAAGGGGCAAATGGTTACTGCTGTATATGAACAAGCTCTTGTTGTGTGTGTGCTGATCGCTACCTCATTTCAAGGTGCACACAAGTTAGAGACTGTGGGACTTACCGTGTCTGATGATTTGTTGGGATTTGAATGAGAGTTGGAGCTGTGCAGAGAGCTGTGGTTATGGGAGTTCTCTTGAGGGGATATACTGGTCCCTAAAAAATGAAAAATATTGAATGTAAACATATAAACCAGTTTTGTCTATTTTTTTTTATCTATACGTGTCTAAACTAGTTATTACCACATCTGGTTGATCAAAACAACTCTACTAGAACATTCCACTGCGACCTGCATAACTATAAAGCTTCATAAACAATGACCCCATAATTCATTGCAGTTTCCACTTTCTGCTAAATCAAGTATGTATGACGCTTACAGCACTTGAGCTTTTTATGGCTGAATGATGCAGAGACATGAACACTTCTGGGCCTTTCTATCTGTTCCTGGCTTACTTTGATTCATTAGAGTCATTTCAGTTTGATCTGTACCAACTCGATTACACGGACAATACAAGCTCTCAAAGACTCATCTGGCAAGTGTTCATATAGCATGATTGCAATGCCAAAAAAAAAAAAAAAAAAAAAAACCGAAAGGACTGGGACCATATATTCACGAGGGGATTATGGCGTCTACTGGGTCAGATCGATAGTTAGGCAAATTAAAAAAAAAGAGATGCCGAATGTACTGTGACAGACATATTGTGAAGCGATGGGGAAAAAAAACAAAACAAAAAAAATCAAATGATCTTTAGCACTTGGATGAATTTTATCATCAAATGAGTGTTACAGCACTGTTTAAATATCCAGCGAGGTCAGTTCTTTATAACGCACCCAGAAGAGTTCGAACTAAAAGGTCTGACCGGTTTCTGAAGTAAAAATAGTGAAATAGGAGTGTTTTCAGATGAATTACGAGTGTTCAGTGATATTACTCATTTTGACAAAAACCTAATAATCAGCAGAGCTGGGGAAAGATGAAGAACAGCATAATGATTTTATAATACACCAGACTCTTAACGATATATCCGGCACACTCAAATCAGTAACTACCCATGAAAGATCACTCATGGTAAACAAACACATACTAGGCTTTAACTGATGACCAATTTGATGAGAATCAGACTATTGTGATACTGCAGCATTTAGGTGAGACACACAGACCGCTGGCTACCAGATTACTCTAGGAGTAATATGTGTTTTTTGATGATCTAACACAGTACACTAATAACTTTAGATGTTTCATAGGTTTTTTTTTTATTTTATTTTTTTTAAGTTTTATAGGTAATTAACTTTACTCACTTCAGGTAGGAAAGACAGGACCTGTTTACACCTGGTCACTTCATGCTTTTTCTCTATCGGATAGCTATCTGATTTGGTAAAACAGCTCCATTTACACTTGGCCACATAAATGTGTTCTTAAATTCCTGTGCTATATGCAAATTCAACAGAGTTCACGTCAATGAAATCAACAGATATGCGCTACATTTTTTTCCATCATCGGCTAATTTCAAAATCAAAGACCTCAACAGGAGAGAGTGCAGCATCAGCACTGGAAAGATAAGTTAGTCTTACTACTTTTAATGAATGATTGTGTGTTGAGCGTCTGTGATTTACCTTCAGCTTAATTTGTGGCAGTTTGCGCATGTTACGACCGTTTCTTCTGATGATAATTTTTTGTTGTTGTATTGTATTGCTTTGTTTCTCTCTTTCTCTCTCGCTCGCTCTCCTCTTTGGTCTGCTTTCTCATAGGTTGCATGATGCTGTGGTGTCGGCGCATAATTGGTCGTTCTATTAAGGCGGAGTCTTTTAAGGAAGCCGTTTGCCAGCTGTCGGGGAGCTCATTGTTGGTGCGAACACGAACGGGTTCGGAGCTCCTGGATTCCTCCTCCGGCCGGCGGCCAAACTAATGTTTAACATCTGCTGTTGTGACTAAAACTTCTTACCATGTGAAACAGAGCGTAGGGGTGTCCTGCCCATTTTCTTTTGTGAATTCGTTTGGGCTTTGTTTTTGGTTAGGAAGTTAGGTAAGTTGGCTGTATTTTTATTTTATAAATCGTCTAGGTTATTTAATTTCTTTTCTTTTTGTTCTAGTTTTTTTTGTTTGTTATGTTGGCCTGTGGCCACCCCGAAGAGATGCTCTTCATGTTTCACTTATAACTTTTAATAAATCTAATCGTTTCTGGTTCCTGTGATTGGTGTGATTGTTTGGTCCCCGACCGGAGTGATTATTCCTTTAACTTGTTGGGAATCCAGCACCAACCCTATCATCGTTACGTCCTTTCGTTCCCTAGAGTCGGGGCGTAATAGCGCGTCAGCTTGCTAAAGAGAAACTCACCGCGGCTATGTGTGTTGCATTAGCGCTGCGATATCTGGCTATGATATGTCATATAGCCTATAACATGCTCTCACACATTTAATATTTTAAAATGTACATATGTGGTTTCAACAACAATATGCTTTTACACTTGTCCAGTTTCGTTTGGAATGTGTCTCAGACCACCTCCTGAAGAGTTTGAGCCATCGGATTTAAATTCGTATCGAAATCGTTTCGGAAGGCATTTACACCTAGGGCTGGGTGATATGGCAAAAAAAAAATCATCATGATAATTTTTTTAATATCAGTCAATATCGATAATTATCACGATAAAATGTCAAATCTTTATTTCCTTCAAGCTTAAAGTCAGATTTTTGTTCCAACGTGAAAGTTGTAGAAACCAGACCATTAATTTTCCTTAAAATAAATATCTTAATAGAAAAATGTCTTAGTTTCTGAAAGTTCTAATGAGTGATTGTTTCAAATTAAGAAACAGGTTTGTGTTGCCTGATAATATTAATAATATTATTACTTTTGTCTCTTAGAAATGCACATTTGATAGTAGTAGTAGCTTGAATTAGGATGCAGATGTAAATTTTTGTTCATTATCAAAATCAGTAGCATCTGTAAAAATTGTAGCAACCTCATTTTTATATGGTGAAATTTAAATCTAAACAAGTTTTTTTTTTTTTTTTTAATTAAACATTGGTCTCCCATAGTAGCATACATTTAGATCATGATAAACACAGTTAAAACCACACATATAGCACACCTCAATACCATGGTAATACTACATCATTTTTAGGTATTTGTATGAATAGCAGTAGTCTAAAAACATTTAGTATAAATGCTATAGCTTAAATCCCAGAAAAAAATACTATAATTACAGGGCTCGCAACATTTCAAAATACCTGGTAGCCCTTCGGGCAGGTACTCTTGAGATTTTGGTAGCCCGAAAATTAATTTAACTAGCCCAAATAAAAAAAGATTTTTTTTTTTTAAATATAGAAAATCAGATAAGAGTTTAAATGTCAATTAAAAATATTTTCAATACACAAATATAAACAAATATTAAGGAACACAGCGGCCTAGCGTGAGGGGAAGCCCCGGCTTAGCGTGAGCTGAGTTCCTCGGAGAAGATGTGTCTGATGTGTTCCAGGAATAAGAGTGTAAAGTCACTATGAACATGGAAAATCAACTCAACTGATGTACTATGTCTCGATATACATGAAATCAAAATTAGCTTTTTTTGGGGTACTATGTACTCCTTAATAGGACTGGGCAAAAAAATTGATTTTTCGATTTATCGTGTTTGTTAAAATGACGTCAATTCGATATCGATTCTCAAAAGCCGCGAATCGATCTTTTCTTGTATTTCCGGAAACATTTAAAACAAGATCTGATTAATGTGAATCTTATCATCAGCCTTCTCCACTAGATGTCACTCTCTTATTTACCTTGCACGATGTTACAACAGAAAGCCTGTCATTCATTCCATGCTTATAGCGGAGATACTGTTGACAATAGGGATATGCCGGTATCAAATTTTCATGTTGCGATTAATTGCTAATGCTTTTTGACCAGTTTATGGGAAAAGTATTCTTAAAATGCATTCAAAATTCTGAATAATTTGTAATATATAATTATTCACGGTATTTAGAAGTACAATATCGTGCATATTCATTACCGTGATATATCGCATTACCGAATACCGGCACAAGTCTAGTTGACAAGAACCAAGAACAAAGCAATGTGCGCGATTTGCAAAGCTCAGGTAAACTTCTATAGTAATACTACTAATCTGCGGAAGCATTTGACATCACTCCTAAGCCACCATGATTTCCACAATGAATGAATGGCGCGACGCACGGTTTTGTTTACTAAAGCGCGGACGACGCTTGCGGTGTTTTCAGCTTCTGCCGTCTCACTATATGATAGTATGAACACATGAATATCATCTCCAGCTGCTCTGAGAGTCACTTCATTAGCATTTTACAGTTTAATTTGAGAAAACTACCATCATATCACATACACAGCAGCTGCAAATTCCTCATGGCAACCTGTCAAAATAAAAGTTTAGTTTAACGTGAAGAAACTGTGTCAGAAATATATTACTATTTAGCAGGCTTAAGACTCAATGTAACAACAATGCTACTACTACTACTAATAATAAATATTTATAAATCTTTATTTTTAAAGGAATAATCACAATTGTTTTCTTTTTAATTTTAACAGTAAACATCTGTTGTGCAGCACTTTGTTTGCCCAAAAATAAAAGGGTTTAATTTTCATTTGATTAGGATAAATTAAATTAATGTTTTATGCATTCATCTGATTACCAGAAAAATGAAGAAGAACATTTTATAGGGCCCTATTATTGTTTAAAAAAAGGACCCTATACAAAAAAGAATAGGTTTAAAATACAGGTCTGTGGCTCTTAATTTCTTTTTATTAATTCACCATTTGTAAACTGATGTTTTACTGTTTATTTTTTAGAAATATCAATAGCATTTGTATTAAAGGGGTCATATGATGCGATTTCAATTTTTCCTTTCTCTTTGGAGTGTTACAAGCTCTTGGTGCATAAAGAAGATCTGTAAAGTTGCAAAGACTAAAGTCTCAAATCCAAAGAGTTCACTGAATGTAATAAAAAAAATCGAGAATAGAAACAAATCGAATCGAGAGCTTGCAAATCGAAATCGAATCGGGACATCTGAATCGATACCCAGCCCTACTCCTTAACATGGACACAGAATGCCTTTTGAAGATACATGCACAAAAAAGAACAGTCTACCTGATCCAGAAACATAAACAAAAACTATGGATGACTCGCTACGATTTTTTGTCCAATCAAATACTCTTTATAAAGAGACTGTCCCTCCCCTAAATAACACCTACAGTTGATGAGCATGTAGCAAATCTTTTATCTATTAAGAAAAATTGGGGGGTAAAGAGCACACTGATATGTCCTAATCCCACCCATACTTCCTGTGAATAAGAAATACACCTTGAACCACTGCTTTCCTTTTCATCCAGAATTTAAAAAAGTGTGAGGAGCTATTTGACACATACACACTCAAAAACAAACCTTTGGAGTGGTAGAACAAGTCCGAACTAGCTACAGTTTACGTTAACCTTTATGGAGGAACCAGAAAACCTTGTTTTGTGATTGCTTTAGGTGTACATGACAAAAGTTTAAGAATATTCATCATCTTGCTTTGTAGTTTTGATCAAATTAATCAGAATGTAATGATGCATTCAATTAAGCATTTTTATGTAGGTTATTCATACTGGTTAACTTACATAAACAAATCATATTCAGCTAAAACTCTTCCATCCACTGGGCTGGATTTTAATCTAACCAATATCAATTTGTAGATCTCAAGATCAATCCTTTATGCCTTTTTCAGCTGTTGTGTGTATAAAACACTAAACATTATTTGTCGAGGCACCTCCCATACAATAATTGGAAAAGCTCTGTGATTTGTTACTTTTAATAAGAAACACTCAGCTTTCAAATTCTGCCTATTTTATCACCTAATTCAAACAAATTAACAAATATTTTGACTTTCTTTAATGTAACATGAGAGAAGGTATAAGGAAAGATAGGGAACTCACTAAAATGCATCATTTCTCATGTCACTGTGTTCCAACCACAAAAAGACATCAACAAAAAATCCTGTGGACAAGTCACGTAATGCTACATTTTCATCAGAAAAGTAATTCAATGTCCATACCTCATTAGCTAGAAAAATAATGCTACAGCCTACAGACAAACAATAAATAAATATATACTATATTGTATATTAATTACGTTTTTGCCCATTGGTTAGGCCTCAGAAATGATTAATGTAAAATGTATGTATGTTTGATTAAACCCGTCGACATTACTATTTGACAGCCACTGTTTAAATTATTATATTTCAACAATAAACTGGAGAAGAAAATTATATCATTAGAAAGGTGATACAAAAACTTTGTGCAATGTTAATGTTTGTATACAATGTTTTGAGTTATTTTAGTGTTGAATGTAGCACATAAAATTACATAGCAATTAAATGTAATAATTTGGGCTCTGTTGTCGATTTTAACTTTTAACATTATTATTGTGTAATTTATAGCATTAGATGAAAGAGATTTTCCTTAAGAAAACGTACATGTACCTGAAACATCCAAATTAATCTATATTCAATTGAATCAAGGGCAAAACTGAACTGATTCGAAAGAACAATATATTCAAGCTAGAGACATGGCTCAGCTGCTTTTAGCATTTATGCTTATTGCAAATGCATATATAACATCAAACTAATTAATTATGCTGTCAGCATACTTCTATACAAGTTCTCCTTTTTAACCGCTTCGAGTGGCTCTTTAACAAGATGCAAGACTTGACCTATATAACAGATCTGGCAAATATGAATGGATGCAAAGCTTTTACACCACCAAGATTCATAAGATGTAGTACTAAAAAATAATGAAAAAATAAAATGAAAAAGATCTGAAGCAGTGTACACATTCCACAACTGTCTGATTCATTTCAACGTATGCTGCAGTCACTATTCAGTTAGATGACGCATTTATTTGGCAGCAATCTCATTATCTACTCGCTATCTAAATAAGAGTAGCAAATCAGCATGTAGTGATTAGATTCAACTGCCTTTATATGTAGCAGCAGTATCTGGTTAAGACGTCTTGTGATGCAAGTAGATTAAAAACTAATAGATTGACTGAAAAGGAATGACAATGTTTTATCTGAAGTGACTACATCAGGCAGGACTAAAAGCTGGTTCACACAAGGCACGATAACTATAAAGATAATGTTAATAATAACGACACATATGACACAATAGACACGTTTCCATCACCCTGTTTTTATGCACATTTTAAAGTATCGCATCAGAAACAAGTGATGGAAATGCCAAATTTCGAATAAAAATCCCTTAATTTGCAAAAAAGTTTTTACGCTCGCTTGAGGTGGATTTTGACTTATGCAAAAAAGGGTTAATGCTAATTATGGGAGATGGAAATGCATTTGCCAAGTAAATTCCTCCATAAGCATAAAAAAAAAAAAGTCATGTGACTTTGCGCGATGGGACGGCAAAACCTGACTAACCAGCTGCCCGTTCTTGTTCCACAGCATGTGAAATGTTGTTATGGTCATTTTGAAATGCACGAGCAGAAGTCTGTTAAAGTATTTCTGTATAATTGCCTCCCACTGTTACACGACTGCGTTCCCAAACAGCAGGCATCCACCATCGAAAGCAATGGCCGCAATTTATTTTGTTTCGTCTGCTCACTCTGAGGTGCAAGTAATTTATTATATATGAAAATTATTATATTCAGTGGCTTCTCCTACTTTTCTTAATGATATATAGTGCCAGTTTACCAGGAAGTGACGATTTTCTCTGACTCATTGGATGGAAATTATATTCAGTGGCTTCTCCTACTTTTCTTAATGATATATAGTGCCAGTTTACCAGGAAGTGACGATTTTCTCTTTGACTCATTGGATGGAAACGGTGCTTATTCGCAAATGTTTTATGCAATATTTCAATTTGGTGCATTAGTTAAATTCACAACTTTGGATGGAAACCCGGCTAATGACAAATTTCAAAATTATTTGTTAACAATTGATGAACAATGAATACAGCCAACCAGAGTCCATCTGACTTTGACAAGCTCAAATATTTAAAGCAGCAGACAACATAACTGCAGTGCTCGCTTATAATATGCAGAATGTTAGTGTTTGTTGGTGTGGACGCTAATATAGTTATCTTACTTTGTGTGAATTTGCCTTAACTCAATCTGTGATTTTCAATATTAAGAAATCAACTATATTAACTGTTGAAGCAGCAGAAGAAACGTATGTAAAAAATAATTAATAATTAGAAAATATGGCATGAAATATTGTTTAAAAAAATATTTAAATGATGGCAGTGAAACTCAACTAAACTGCATTTGCCAGCCTGACATTACATCATTAGATCAACCAAAATCATAAGTTTGGAACAGGGCTCTCTCTTCATCCAGCCAAAGGCAGACAGTGTTTTAAGGAAACCTTTGGTTAAATTTGGTGACACAGAGTTAACCTTAATTTTTACTGAAACCTTGTAAAATAAGACTAAGGCTTCTTCTGCCCATTCTCATACATTAGTTTGTTGATGTCAACATCTTAACATTTGGTAAAAATATGAGGTAGTGTGGGTAAATCGTATGACCATATTTCCTATTTATGGCTAATTTTACTGCAAAATCAATCTTACAAGCATAGCCTATAACGTGTTCAAAGACTCTAAGCTTGAGTTTTACAAGGATAAAGAACCCAAAACATAAAGCGAAACATAAAAAAGACACTTCGAAAATGTGTTTTTTGTCCATAAAAACAAACATCAATGTTCACCAAAAGTATTTGGTTCCCAGCAAAATATTTCAAAATACCATCTTGTGTGCTCTGCTGAAGAAGATACAGGTTTGGAACAACTTCAGTGTGAGTAAATCAGAATTTTCATTTTTGGATCATATGTCTAAATATTTAACAAACTAAACGATCATTCTAGCCAAACTGAAAAAATATGTCCTTATAATGTTTCCAATACCAATAACATTCGGCAGATCTTGCTACATAAGCAAAAATAATTCTGAAGGACAACATAATATTTTAACATGGAAATAATTCTCAATCTAGCACAATTTCTGATTTCAGAAGCTTGCGGTCTTTCAAGCCTGCTCATCTTTTCTGAACGATAAAACAGTCTTCAGATGTAGAAAGCAAAAATACTGAATACTGAAAAAAAAACTTTGTACGTGATCTGATAAAATTTTTATAGAAGCTGAACATGAAGAGAGATAGAAGCGCACTCTGCTCACAGACCAAGCATTACATTTTCCTCTCTGAAATGGCATAATTCATAAGGTTGGATTACAGGGTGCTTGAAGCTGGTGCCACTACCGGAAGTGTGATTTCATTTTTTGTGATGTCTTTTTACCCTAAAGACAGCAATCTGATCACTTTATACAGAATTTATCTGACTAGCATTTACATACAAACACTTATGGAATAATTAAGGCCGATGTAAGATGTGTTATCAACCTAGGCATCAGTATCAGCCTCAGATCTGTGCCTCTTATCAAATGATCAATATGACTCCAGGTCTCCCCTCTTACCTCCTTCTCTGTCTCTCCCCCGGTGTGGATTGGTGGCTTTTGCTCTGCCATGGCCAGTGCTGTCCATGTGTTTGTTTTCTGGACTGTCTGATCGCCGCAGCATCTTGCACGGTGGAGTGGCGTCGTTACTGTCACGCATCTTCTCATGTCGGTGATCAGGGTGACTCTTGGATGAGTACTTAAGAGTCTGTCAAAACATGACATTCCTACATTGAACTCTGCTGCACAATTGCTCTCTCTCACATGCAGTGTACATGAGAGCTGGTTTAAAGCTGGTCTACAATGGTCATTAGCTACCTGACCAGCTCATTTATTGCTGATCTAAAACGATATACTGGCTGCTGACCAGCTAGCAATCATCAAACATGTTCCAAAACACGACAATACTTCATAGCACGATAATGTTTGTGTCATTACATACTTTGTACATCACGTCAAGACGGAGCACAGGAAAGCCTATAAGCATTACAGTTCTACATATAATTAAGCATCTCTTGATGTTCTAGATTTTAATTTGAATCGTTTTATTGGGATTTGGTCTCATTTATTGCTGATCTAAAACGATATACCGGCTGCTGACCAGCTAGCAATCATCAAACATGTTCCAAAACACGACAATACTTCATAGCACGATCATGTTTGTGTCATTACATACTTTGTACATCACGTCAAGACTAAACGGAGCACAGGAAAGCCTATAAGCATTACAGTTCTACATATAATTAAGCATCTCTTGATGTTCTAGATTTTAATTTGAATCGTTTTATTGGGATTTGGTTGCACTCTCTAGCAACTATTAAGACGACTGTTTATAAACAACCTCGTACCACTAAATTTGTATTTACGTATACAACCGTTTCTTTAAAGTAGCATATTTTAAACCCTGAATTGATGATTATAAACATTATTATGTTGGTAATTTCGAAGTAAATCGCTGTGACACACAGGCCTGTGATGTAAGTTAGCCGCTAGCGAGCTAACGTTAGCCTGTTAAAGTCGCTAGCGCTCTGAGCGCATTTAAAACATGATAAATTCGACGGGCAGGCGACTTATGACAGCACAAATTTATGTTTACAGTGTAATGTAAATTTGTGTGTCATTTTAAACCGAACCTGGTGATAATGAGGCACTTTTCGCTGTGTTTTACACACAGAGGCCTAACTTGCTTCAAAAGCCTGCACTAGATTTACCCCATTTTAATCTTATTTGTTTCAGATCTACCTGATAGGGCTGAGAATCCCTTCGGTCGGTGCACCTAAAAAATAAAATAAGAAAGAGACAGAGGAACAGTTAAAAAACCATCTGAACGGATAGTGGCAGAAATTGCAACAGCTGAATCGGCTTCCTTAAGTTTCTACTTATTTTGGTTTAGCTAAAAATGGCGGATTGTCAAAGCGGAGAAGGAAAATCGGAGTATAAAATAGAGCTCTTTACCCATCGCCGAGTCTCGGTTGTTTCCTTGCATACATTACCATCAATGCCGTGTTAGTGTGTATGAAGTAGATGTGAAAGATGGGCGACTTATTTTATATTTGGAGTGGGCTATCGACGACCCGATCGCGTATATTATTTCAATAGTTCTGGCTATTGGAGTCGCTCTTTGCCTCTGCTAGAGCGCCCTCGGTCCATCTCCCACTCACACATACACCGAAACTCTGCCCCTATCTACAGAGCAGCGAAGCTCAGCCTTCCTCACACACCTCTATCCGGGTTATTCCGGGGCTCGCTTCGGCTCGACTCGGCTACTGTCGGGCCATTCCGGCCACTTGTTTGAATTGGTCTGAAGTAGTGCATGAAGTAGGAATCTTTGTGAATGTTGGCAGTTTTTTTTTCTTTTTTGAATAAAAATACATTGTGCTTGACGTACTCACAGAAAAGTCTGATTTACGATTCTCACTTCGCGCTTTACTCCAGCTGTTGAGAAACATTGCGTTTCAGTGGCTGGAATTTAAATCCAATCATCTACTGACATCTACTGGACATGTGGAGCCAGTGCATGTGAATGTCACTGAGACGAATGCAGAAAGGACCTGATGCAGTATGACTCACTAGCTGTGTCCCAAACTGAAGTGCGTGGACTCCGGGGTGCGCATTTGAAGTGCGATTGCGTCACAGCGGCGCGACGAAGGCTGTCCCAAACTGAAGTTTTTTTGTTTTTTTTTAATTCAAGGAACAATAACACACAATATGTTATCAAGAAAACAACATTAACGCCATAAGTAGACTGTCTGCTTAATATCTTCTAACACTTTCTTTGTCAACATTCTACTAACCCTAAACCTACCCTAACAGTCTACTCTGAGAGTTAGTAGACATGTAGTTGCAAATTAATGAGAATTAGTTAACATGTGGTTGACATGTAGTTACAAAGTTACTTATAGTTAGTAGAATGTCTAAAGTGGACTATCGAAATAAAGTGTAACCTTCCGTTCAATAAAGAGACCCAATGAGACAAAACATAAGGAACAGTAACAATTTCTCTTTGGAAAAGAGTACGGATAGCTCTATTATTATTTTTGGGATTTAATGAAAAACAAATTTTACCAATATAAGATTTACTAACATCAAAAGACACTGAATCGGGAGAATGGTCTATATCAATACCTTTAAATAGCATGCGAGTACCTGAAGGGATTGAATCAATAACAACTGCAAATTCTTTTTGAGTAACTGGCGTTTTACAATAAGAAAGGAATTCATCATAAGAAAGGAGTGTTCCGTCTTTATTATATAACTGACTAACCAATTTAATATCGATGTCAAACCAGTTCTTAAAAAAAAGAGATTTATGTTTGTCTATTATTCCAGATGAAATAGCGATGCGGAGAAAAATTATGCTTATATATTAATGATCAAGATAGGAGCACTTGTTTGTGGAAGGCAGATAACTTAGCTGGAATTTTATCTATATTATAATTACACATCAAAACAAAACTAAGACCACCAATATTTGAAAAAACATAATGAGGGATAAAATTCCAGACAGAAGTGGGGTTTTTTAAGTGATGCTTAATCCAATTAATCTTAAAGGTGTGGTTCATAGTGGTGAAATCTAAGAAATTAAGGCCACCGTTCTCATATGTATTCATAATCACAGTCTTTTTAACATAGTGTGTTCGATTTCTCCATAGGAAATCAAATAGCATCTTATCAATATTTTTACTAGTATGGTTATCAAGATACAAAGATAAGTAGGCATATGTCAGTCGGGCTATACCTTCAGCCTTCTTAAGGAGAACAATTTTAGAACCCTTTAGGGAGAGATCTCTTTGAAGCCAGAAGTTGAATTTTCTTTTAGTTTTATCAATTATGGGGTTAAAATTGAGAGGACATCTTTTCAGCTGGTCTTTACCAATAATGATTCCTAAGTATGTAACACTATCTTTTACAGGAATGTTACAAATATCTATTAAATCACAGTCTTTAACAGCCATTAGTTCACACTTACTAATATTGAGATAGAGACCAGAGGCACTAGAAAACGTATTAATAAGATTAACTGCAATTGGAATTTGGCCACTATTTTTCAAAAAAAGGGTTGTATCATCGGCTAACTGACTTATAATAATTTCTCTATTTGCAATTGAGACTCCCTTAAGAATACTTTTTTTAACATGCACAGATAATAATTGGGTTACAAGCAGGAAAAGATACGGAGAGATAGGACAACCCTGTCTAATACCTCTTTTTAAATCAAATCTAGAGGTAGTTCCATGTTTGAGTTTGATTGAGCAATTTGCATTATTATACAGGGTTTCAACTGCTGCACAAAAAAATTCACCAAACCTAAAAACCTTTAAAGAAGAAAATAAAAAATTATGTTCCACAGTGTCAAAAGCTTTACGAAAAGCTAAGAATAAAATAAAACTCTTTTCATCAATTAAATATGAATAATCGAATATAATTAAAACCAACCTTATATTATTCGAAATATGCCTGTTTTTCATAAAGCCTGACTGTGTTTCATCTATAATATATTCTAATACATTCTTAATTCTTTTATTGTCCCAAACTGAAGTGCATGGACTCCGAAGTGCGCATTTGAAGTGTGATTGCATCACAGCATCACGAAGTAAGCTGTCCCAATTCAGAATGCACCCTCCGAAGACCGCATTCCAAGGCCGATTGCGTCACCGCGGTGCAACGAAGGCTGAATTAGTGCTCTGCATTTATCCCATCCAAAGTGCACACACACACACCGTGAACACACACCCGGAGCAGTGAGCAGCCATTTTTTGCTGCGGCGCCCGGGGAGCAGTTGGGGGCCTTGCTCAAGGGCACCTCAGTCGTGGTATTGAAGGTGGGAGAGAGCACTGTACATTCACTCCCCCCACCTACAAACACTGCCGGTACGAGACTCGAACCCACAACCTTTGAGTTACGAGTCCGACTCTCTAACCATTAGGCCACGACTTCCCATTATTTCGAAAGCGACTTCAAATGCACCTTCCATTTCCCAGGAAAATGAAGTGTACGTCTGATGGACACTTCGCACCCTATCCCAGAATCACTTGCGCACAGATGACGATGGAATTTATATTCAAAGAACATGGAGGATGACAGTTATGTGGGGGAATTCACAATGAAATGTAAGTATTGTGTTTTCATTTACTCAAATAGGCTACCTAGCGAAACAAGTGTTAAAAGCCAGGGTTTTTTTTTTTTAAACAAAGCCCACAAACAATAAGACAACCACTATATAAGGCAATAGTCTTTCTTTTTGTTGTGTTTTTGTAGTGCTGTCATGCAAGATATGTCTACAAATGTTTTAACTTTAGCACTTCAGTATTTTGTATGCATGGCCTGCTGTGTCAACTTTTCTAATGTTAAGATTGCAAACATGTCTTCATATTTTTCATAAGTGTATTCATTTTGTTTTAGGACTATTCTGGAGAAATTGAGCCTGCTGGGGAAAGACTTAAAAATACAAAGTAAGCAAGTTAATAGACACATTTTTGCTGAAATTCATTGTGCTGTTGTTGTTAACAGGCATGGTTTATTTGCTCTGCCTTAGGATTGCAAGTGTCCTGGGACAGGTGAGGGAGTGAGTGGAAGCTGGTGGAGCTACTCAGGGAGGACATCAAACTCCAGAGAGAGACAGAGGAGAGGAGAGCACAGGAGAGCAAGGAGAGAATGGAGGGACTGTTTTCTCTTCTTGAGAGAATGCTTAACAAATACATGATTTATTAGGCAAGAGAAAGCAGTGGGAAAAAAAATGGGTACATTACAGTTTTTCAATATCTTTTTTTAAATGTCGCATTGTCAATGAAACTTGTTTGTTTTTGAAAACTTTGTTTTAGGTTGTAACCTAATTTCTGTAGTTTATTTTTGTGATGTAAGTTAAAAAT